TTCTGAAAATGAGCCAGTAATATTATGTAGGCTAGGTTAGTGTAAATCATCTATTGACGTGGCCATATGTATGTACCCAAACTTCGGTTGTTTGATATATGGCCCAAATAAAGAAACAGTTTTGTGACTGGATCAAGATAAAATAAATATGAGGCAGCGTGGTGGAATCAGGCTCTCGTCAATTTTGGGGCATGTAGAGTTATTGGTATCATCTTAAAGCTTGTTCACTTGTCTTTATTTGGATGGAAAAAAATATCCATTTATCTTGAATACAAGTCGAGGTATTGCGAATGAAGGAGGTGGAGGTCACCTGTTTTCAGATGTAATATTAGTGAGAAAATGGCCGCCAAAGATAAGTTATTTCCTTAGCTTAAGACTTCTTGGTAACTGAAAATTTTCATTTTTTGTGCCTTTAATCAACGTTTTTCAGAAAAATGCACACAGAAATTAGTTCTTTTATAGGCATGAAAGGTGTTGAGCCAAAAACAAAAATTCGATAAAAATTCACAAACCTGCAGAAAAATGCAAGTTTCGTCACTTTGATTATTTTGACGAGAGCCTGATTCCACCACACTGCCTCACATATATATGTACCCAAACTTCGGTTGTTTAATATATGGTCCAAATAAAGAAACAATTTTGTGACTGGATCAAGATAAAATGAATTATAATACTAGATATTTGGTCACTAGCTTACTGGAGTGCAATGTTAAGTTATGAGCGCAGTAGCAAATTAATAAATGAGCAAAAAAAATTTTTAACGCTGGCAGACGAATATCACGTAAGACTTTCGCTGTTGTGATCATTGTACCGCATCGGAAAAGCACATGCTGCTTTCGTGTCTTTGAATAGCATTTGGAAGACCAGAGATATCTCACTTAGAACAAAGCTGAGGATTTTCAATTCAAATGTGAAGTCAGTCCTACTGTATGGATGTGAGACATGGAACGCGTGTCAGACTTGCGTAAAAAGGATCCAGGTTTTCTTGAACAAGTGTCTAAGTTACTCTAATAAAGTTACTGAGGATCAGATGGACAGACAGGGTTACCAACGAGGAAGTGTGAAGGAAAACAAGAGAGATCCCAGTCAGAGATGAGATAGGAAGAAGGCGGTGGCGATGGATTGGACATACTCTCAGGAAGTCAAGAAGCTGCATAACAGAGCGAGAAAGTGTTGGATTGGAATCCATAGGATAAAAGATCACGGGTAAGACCACTTGGAACCTGGAGAAGAATCAGTGCGAAGACATGGAATAACATCCAGAAGCTATCCCAGAATAGGGAAAGGTGGAAAGTGTTTGTCCGTGGCTTATCAACTTATACCCTGGTGCGGGATGAGAAAGGCAATAATGGTGATCATTTTATTCCCTTTTGGCAGAATTTTGATCAATTGGGAACGGGATAGTCTCAATGGAACTAAGACAGACAAGAACACTTGATAGCTTCAAAAGACATCTTAAGCATTTTCTGTTCCTACAGGCCTATCCTTCATAAGCTTTTAACGTTATTTTGATTATAGTTGTTCTGTGCCTGTCTGAATGAAAATAGTTCGTGTGTGTGTGTGTGTGTGTGTGTGTGTGTGTGTGTGTGTGTGTGTGTGTGTGTGTGTGTGTGTACTAACCTGTGCTGTGGTATCCCAGGCACGTCCCACTGTGAGAACATGGGATCGCCCTCCCCTAATGACTCACCTCAGCTGAAGCAGGCACGGGCAGAGATCAGAAGCTCCATCGGGCAGTGGTTAGAGGCTGACACAGACTACTGAGGGAGGAACCTCACTGAAGTTTTGCCGGAGGTATTCCCCGTCGAGTGTTTTCTTTATTGAAACTGTTGTATAAGTGCTGAGTCTTCTTTATTTTTGGAAATGTTAATAGTATTACTGTTGTTTTCATTAGCTATTGATTAGTTTCTATCATGTGCAAATAAAAGTGTTTTGTCATAAACTGTTAGTTTTTTTTATTTGACTTTTTGAGGGGAGAGGGTGTTTGTTTTGTTTTTTGTTTGTTTGTTTGTTTGTTTGTTTGTTTATTTGTTTGTTTGTTTGTTGTTGTTGTTGTTGAGTTTGTTTTGTTTTTGCGTGGGGGGGGTTCGAAAAGGGGAGGGAGAGTTTTTGGTTGTGCTTTTTTTTTCTTTAGAAAGCTTGTGTTTGGGTTTAGTGTTAGTTTTAGCCGAAAAAGAAACAACTGAAAACCTTCAGCGTCATGGCGATTCGACAGAGCTCCAGTTATCGAAAAACGATGTGTATTACAATTCCCCTCGTGTAGCTTCATTCAATTACACCGGATGATGACATCAAAGTCGCTCTTCCCCGGTGCAGCACGGAAGGGAACCCAACATAAACACAATCTAAAACCGCCCGATTTCGTAGTCAGTTGTTTGTAATGTACATGACATTGGACTCATCGGTAAAAGTCTAATTGAGCCCTCCATCCGGAGCTTATTTGATCTATGAAGCACACAGTTACCAGGTCTCCACTCTCTGTCAGGCCACGTACGAGTCGCCTTAACATCACTCGGGAACGATGCGCTTTCCTTTTTTTATTTTTACTCTTGATATCTTTTACTCACACAAATGACAAGGGTGGCGGGGTGGTTAGGCGCTTTGCGGTTGCACCCGTGGCACTTGAGCTCTGTTCATAAGAGGGGATGTTTAAAATAATATTTTAGTACATGTACCCCCGTCTGGATGCCATTTTGGGGGGCAACCTTCTACCCTGACAGTCACTGTCAGCGACCAGCCTGGACAAAGAGGAATACAACATCTCAACAAAGAGATCGAGATTCTCGATAAAAATTCTCCCATCTTGGGAATTGATCTCGCTATACCATAGACTATAGACGCCGGTCCTTTGTGTTTGAGTGTAAGTGATACGGAAGCACTTGCAGCCTTTAAGCGTGTGAGGTTAGATTGTTACTTGTCATCAGGTTGGACTACAGAGTGGATGACACTGGTTCCAGTCCCCAATAGCACGTCGTTCTGAACTTGGGTTGTTTGGAGGGCGTATTTAACTTAAGGTTCCCAACAATAGGAGGGTCTTCAATCTATATTCGTCCTTTATTGATTAGACCAAGCCCGAAAGTGGAGGGCTATGTAAATCCACCTGACCTCTCAGGGCCAACCCAAGCAAAGGTTTACTGTCTTTTGTTTTTTGTTGTTGTTGTTGCTGTTGTTTTGCGTTGTTGTTGTTGGGGGGTGTGTTGCTGTTGTTGTGTGTGTGTGTGGTA